GGCTCTATAAATACAACCTCTAGGTCTCTTTGTACTTTGATGGAGAAAAGCACTCACTGGCAGTTTTCTTTATGGGCAGCGGAGGGGGCAGGAGGAATGACAGTACTTTTCTTAATCTTAAATCATGCCTCTTGCCGAAGCTAAAAGCTAGCTAAAACCTCACATCCCATAATGGGCGTTCTACATGCACTTCCTTTTGCTTGCTGGGGTATGAAGTTGCACCGGTAAACAGACAACCTCTCCTCCCACATGCTTTCTCTCTCTCTCCCTCTCTAGCGCATAGCTGGATGCTTTCTTCCTTTTGATTTTTCCATGGCCCTACATAGCCCATCCTGCTACAGCTCAGTGGGAACAGCTGCTGACAGGCTCCCTCTCTGACTTCACAGAGGCTGCTTTCAGGCTCTCAGATGTTTCTTGCCTCCACTGAACAGATTTTTGGCCAACATCTCTGTCTCAGATGTGCTGACTCCAGTTCTCCCTTAGCCTCCTATTTTATTCCACTTATAGCAGATTGCTCTGACTAAATCACTGCTGTCAGGCAGAGGTGAATCCACAAGGCACTTTTCAGAGAAGTGTTTCTATTAAAAATTTCAGAACGTGCTGCCAATGTCATTTACAAGAAGGTTAATTCATTATTGAGAGACACTGATTCTCCATTCCTTTATGATGTTTTGCGCTGTAATTTAGGGGAACGAAATGAAAAAAGGTTATTAAAAGCTGAAAACTATGCCACAATAATCTTTTCCCCCTCCCCCGAATTGCAATTATTTAGCATCAGCATGAGTTTTGATGGGAATTATAATGCCGCATTCTCCCACGGTTTACATGTGATGCCAGGGTGCATATATAGGAAAAGATGTTGACAAAGTCCAATCCTTTTGGCTGTGATGTTTCTATGGTAGGCAAATCTACCTACTTATAGGAAACGGGCTAAGATGAAAGTGCTAACAAAGCAAATGACAATACTACTGAGTGAGTGGATTTCCTTCTAGCTTTGCAGGATTCCAAAACTCTAACTAGGCACAGCCTCGTGCTTTACTAAATTAAATGTGCCATCGAGCTGGGAATGCAGATTGCTTGCATTTTGCTCCTGTTTTCACATGAATAATGGAGAGTATGATCAGTCCAGACAGGTAGTGTACCATAATTACAGTCAGTGTTGCAATATAGAGAAACTGACCTATGCTGACTGATTTTACTGAAGGCTTGGGCAGTTACAAAGCAGAAGGTAAACTTAGCGGAATCCGTCCAAAATGTTTGATTCTGGAACATGTAACATACTCAAACAGGACTCCCACTGACGTTAGGGGAGTTTTTTCCAAGAAAAGGCTGCAGGATTTGGCCTTCTGCGGTTGTTATTAACTGTTACTCATTATTGTGAACAATTAGTAGGCATATAGCACTTTTCATCTTCAATCAATTCATTCTCACAGCACCTCTGTGAGCCAGATAGATAGTATTATCTCCATTTTACAGAGCAGGAAACTGAAGCACAGAGAGATTAAACAACATACACAAGCCTGAAGGGAGTCAGTGTCAGCACCTGGATAAAAATAGAGAGTCATGGCTCCCAATCCTGTGCTCAGACTGCTAGATCCTGCCTCTTTCTTGATAATGCTTATACATTTGAAATGTTTCTTCCCTGTATTTATTATTTCTTTGGATTTCTGCAATAAGCAAACAGAGAGTTTTCCATGTGCCACTCTCACAAAAATAAAATCAAACGACGGCCATCAGAGTTCAACACCACCCAAACACAAACCTCCCCTCCCTGCACATAAATGTAACCTGCTCATCACATATGACTTGATATATTTATATGGCACTGGAATTTTACACCCAGGTTCATAAACCTGGAATGTCAGGTTGCTGCATCCTCTTTACTATGGTGTCAACAGAAATTGCAACATAAGATGCTACAGTATTTATGGACTTAAAGGGTAGCAATTGTGTCTTGTCAGAGCTCATGAACACACTGAAAAGGGTCTGAGATTCTCCTATACATAGTGTCCTATTTAATGATTTCACAGGAAACCTCCAGCAGATATTTTTAAAGGCTGCTGTTGAAAACGACCATATAAGCAAGGCGCTGACCGCTTCTGGCCATTAAAGTTCTCTTTTTGTAAGGCGTTAGCTTAGCTGTGGTGTCCTGGTCAAATTCCTGTCAGGCAGTCACATTGTGCTTATCTAAAATTCAGACTCTAAACTCATCTGACACAGTGGTTTTCACATCTTGTGTCAAAGTGGGTCATTTGTGTCCTTTCTATGTACTGTGGCTTTGCATTATTATATGGCAACTGGTGGGTGAAATGATTCCTCAGACAGCGCAAAATCCTGCCTGCACCATCTTAGTAGGGCTGGTCTACATGGTGCATTGGTCTGCACCAGGGGGTGTAAATTCTAGTGTGCATGAGTGTGTCACACACTAACTGGCCCATATGGACCCTGCTGGCGCATACTGAAAGGGTGCGTTAATTTAGTCCCATTTCAAACAGTACTATGTAACCTGCACTAAGGAACTTTTAGCGCATGCCAGCAGGGTCCACACAGGTCAGTTGTGCAGAACGCACTAGTGCATCCTAGAATTTACACCCTTTTGGTGCAGACTAGTGCACCCATGTAGACAAGCTAGCCATGATGGATGGGGGAAGTGGGGCAGAGCTGGAAGTGCAAAGCCTTGAGCCTTCCTGCCAGCAATGGGCAGAATAATTCAAGGTGGATGGGGGAATGTAGTGGATGGCACCTTACAGGTGGTCTAAAACAAGATCACAGCCTGCGCCACATGCTATGTGGCTAACCACGGTGCACGCTCGGGTGAGCTTAACCACAGAGGACCAGGCCATCCTGAAGCTGGAGAGCACTTAAAGGCGCCTTACCCAGTCCTGCTGGGTGTATTAGCACAGTATCTTGCCCTTACACCGTGTGAGTGTATTGATGCAGGGAGAAGAGCCTGAATCCAGCTTGTACTTTGCAATCAGTTTGAAAAGTACAGTGATTATGCTTTAGAATTCTCTTCCATTGCGAGAGCTATTACTGGTTGAGTGGCATATGCCATCTGCAGGGGAATCTCTCTCAAACTGGTAGAATCCTTCAGAATAGAAGAAACTTTTTAAAATGGTTTCAGAGTAGCAGCCATGTTAGTCTGTATCCGCAAAAAGAAGAACAGGAGTACTTCTGCATCCGAAGAAGTGGGCTGTAGTCCACGAAAGCTTATGCTCTAATAAATTTGTTAGTCTCTAAGGTGCCACAAGTACTCCTGTTCTTCTTTTTTTAAATGGAACCCACTATACGAAAAGCATTTGGGGATCCTGTTGGATGAGAGGTGTCAGATAAAGGTAAAATTTGTTTCAATTACAATAATTTGCTAAAGTAAACTAAGCAAACTAATAAAACCACATTGCAGAATAAGTCTTCCATTTAATAAGTTAAAGAGCAATTATTTCTGGTGTTGCTTAATTGTGAACAGCCTTGAATACATTGAATTCTGACAGCGAAGGCCTGCTTATGTTCTACGTTTTCATTGTAACACAATATTACAGTAGCGGTTTACTAAATAAACTTGAGAAGTAAAACTACATATTGGACCTTAATGATTTTGCTTTAATTAACCTGCCAAGACAAATTGCAACCCATAGCTCTCAGGTAGCTACTGCAGACAGCTGAGACTCAATGCCAATGCCTCTTTGGGGAGAGGAATTAATGGCAACACTGGAATGAGCCTGCTTTATGCAGTAAAGAAAAAAGATCCATTAAACAATCATTGTGGGTAGAAGAAAGCTAAGTGCTGGTTTTATGGAGTAGTATTTGAATTACAACAAAATGGATATGGGGGTATGAACCTGCTCAGTAGGTCAGTCAAATATAAAATTAAACATGACGGAGTCAGAAATAGGTTCTGGTAAAGGACTGATTGTAAACAGAGGGATATAGACCTGGGACAGGTCAGACAGAGTGATATTTATATGCTGGAAGAAGAATCCCAGGGTGCTGTGAGAAGAGGTGGTGGTTACTCAGTGCCTGGTGCTAACTGATTGCTTTACTGATGGAGAGCCTGGGTGAGATTTGGACACCCAATTCCCATCCATTTGAAAATTTCAGCCTCTTTCTTTTAGATGAGGCATAAAACAGATTCATACAATGGGCTATCCCTCCTCCCATAGTGCTTTCTGTGAGAGATTATTAACTTTATTAATTATTAGTAACTTTGGTGTCCTACTCCAACTCCAATTTGAGTAATTATGTGATGCCAGCAGTTTCAATCAGATACGGTATTCCTCACTTCCTGTCCCAAACTGCTGCTTGATGCTGCTATGTGCTGTTGAACAACTGCTCAATTCCACGCCAGAAAAAAAATATAGGCCCAACAGAAACAGAATCAAAATTCCCAAATAGAAGGATCAGGGAGGAGGGGCCACCTTTGTAATCAATAACTCTGGTCTCATCTGCAGTGGCAGGGAGCTTGTCTAGAACATAATTTTTAAATAGGTCTTTAATACAGTTCTGCCCCGTCATGCCATCATAGATATGTTAATCCTTACAGTATTTACCATTAATGTTGTGTGCAGTTTTGTTCCCAAGGGAACAATCATTGCCCAAATATCCTCACTTATGCTGAATAGTACTTTAGTCTCTAAGTAGTCTCATTAAAATCAATGAGATGGGCCAGGACTAAGATGGTACTGAAGCTATGTCTACACTACTGCGGTAAGTCAACCTACACTACACAACTCCAGTTACGTGAATAACACAGCTGGAGTTGACGTGCCTTACGTCGAGTTACACCTTACCTTCTCGTCGGGGGTAGAGAACAGGGGTCGACTGGAGAGCAAGCTGCAGTCATTTGATGGGTCTTTACTAGACCCGCTAAATCGACCACGGGTGGATCGATCTCAGAGCGTCGATCCTGGCTGTAGTGTAGACCTGCCTTCAGTGTGAGTAAGGGTATGAGAAACTAGCCTTAAGGTACATAGATTAGGTAAAATAATATGGTAAATCCTTACCGATGGTAGTAGTAAGAAAAGAAACCACCTCGGACTCTTTCCCATCATTGTAGAAGGCCAGATGCCATATTCCTGTATCCAAATACTGGATAAACCCTGTCTCATGGCTGGACATTGGCACAAAGCCTCTAGGTTGCCGTTGAGGTCCTTCCAGACTCCTCACCTCCTGGGTAAGTAGCCGTCTCCCATCAAGGAGCTCAACAAAGTCAAACTGAAACACAAAGGAAAGATGTTCATTGTATACTTTAGGATGCCAGAAAATGATCATGCTTCCTGGTCCAGATCTATCTCAGGATGGGCAGAAGAGCTTTGCATTAAACATAAGACACCCAAACTTATGGAACATCATACATGATATTTCCTCTGGTAAGTCATGACATGTTCTGATTCAACCTATAAGGAGATGACTGGAATTGTGTCTGTTCCCAGTAGTTTGCCAGATCTCCTTATCTATCTGTTGATCTGCTTCTCTCTGGTCTCCTCTCTCCACCCATTCCTCTCCTCTTGTTTCTCTCACAGCTCCTCACATACCCGTGGGAGCTCTTCTAATGCCTCCAACACACTATAGACACATTTTTTTAATTCATAAAACCTTAAAACCAATAAAAAAATGTAAAAGAAAAAAATTGAGATTCCCACCTCAAGTACAAGACCATCTCTTGCACATGTAAAGCTAAATTCTGATGTTGAATCAGCCATTGTTTTCAACTTGACCCATACTGTATAAATGCAATTTTTTAAAAATACTTTATATGATATTAACTTTAATTTCTTAACATATACAGGCAATGAAGTCTAAATGCATCTAATACGGTAACAATAATTTTTAATCGCCTGACTTTTGTGAGTATAGAACCTTAACCATAAAGTTAGTTTTTTGCATTTTGGGGCCAAGATTTCACTCCTTATTTCTTAGCCATGTTCTTAGCAAAAGAAGTGTTCCAAATTTGTCAAATCCAAACAATGTAGGTTATCTACAACTTGTATTAACAACTAAAATAAAAAGACTCACCATTTTTTTTACGACTCACAGAAAATAATCTTCAAACTATACCTCCCAAAATCACTTTTAGGATAGGAAATGTTAGCATAAAAAGTAAGTTTCATGGGCAAATCAGAAGCACCTGATAATAAGCGCTAATAATGAAAGTGGGCTTCATGCCTATAAACAGACACCATGTATGATTTGGGTGTATACAAGTACTTTGGGACACATGCAATCAGGCACTTGTGCAAATAAAATTGTATTATTTGGTGTATAACATTATCTGTCTACGGCTCCAACCCAGGAAATCATCCTTATTCAGGATCTGAATTGGTGCTTCAAGTTGGTGAATGCATATTTTGCAGTTGTCACGTTGGCATCTATTTTTGAATATTTGAACCTCAATATCTTCCATGAACCCACAGAATTCTTAAGATAGGTAACTGAAATAAAAAGTGGGGCCATCTACCTTTTCAAGGTACAAGCTACAAGCACATCAATTCTAAGGTAAGTGTTGGTTCATTGAAATGTGCTCCTGTTACCTGGGTATGTGAAGGAGGAAGGCCTTTCCTGCCATAAATCCCAACCAGAGCAGCCTTTCCTAAAGACACATTGAATTTCAGATGCACTGGATGGTCAATGAACACCTGAGATCTCCAAAAGATACCAGGAGGAATCTTCTGTGTGGCTCGTCGTCCAACATCAATTTCTCCAGAGTCTATAAAAGTGTCCTCTGGAAAGAAACTACTGGGCTTTCCTGCTGAGACATAGAAACAAAAAAAACCCCCCTTGGATTAGCCTAGCGTCCTGTAAGTAATCTGATCAAGGTATCTCTGACATTGATCTACCAATGTGCTGACTTCTTCAGAATACATTATGCATCAATTATGACTATGAAAAAAAAATGGATAGGATTACTCCTGGCTACGCTCCATCTTTCTATTGAAAACATGTATCTTGGAAGAGCAATATGGATTCCCAAATGGCCCTCTGCTTAAATCATAACAACAGAGCTTGTTAAATTACATTTTAATGTTAAAAATAAATCATCTTACATCACATCACATCATTAATTTATGTTATTTATGGAGAAAGTAATTATTATATTATCAAAAAATGTAGTGATTGTGAGTTTCCCATGCACCATGGAGTTGGATGAGTATGTCAAGAACATCTGTTTAAGTGATGGTGAATTATGCAGGGGGAAACTAATGGTAAAATTCACTGCTAAATTAATGGTTGGCAATTGTGGGAACACTTGGGATGGCATCCCCATTACAAAATGCCTAAATGAAGGAGGGACATACAGCAAAGATAGGGGACATAATATGCTGCACTTCTATAGTGTCTCCCATTTAAGAACTCAAAGGTGTTTTAATTAGATTTCAAAATAACTCTGTGGAGTGGGTTATGATTATTATCCCTGTTTTACAGATGGAAAAACTGAGACACAAGTTTCTAAGGCATCAGTTTCTGAAAGAGTCTACTGAGTTTGGGTGCTCACCTTGAAACACTTTGGGCTGATATCTAGAGGTGCCGAGCACCTACACTTCCAAATGAAGTCAACAAGGTGCTCGGCCCCTCTGGATATCAGGCCCTGGGCATCTCAAGTTGGGCATCCATACACTAAAGCTCTCAGAATTATGGGCACTTTGGAAAATGGGGACCCAAGGGAAGCACAGTTAATTAGGGTCAGAGAGGGAAATAAAACCCCAGACTGCTGACTCCCAGGCCTTTGCTTTAATCATTGGCTCATGATACCTCACCTGAAATTACAGCAAAACAGGAAAAGAGAGGAAGATGACAAATGTCATTGCTTAGGAGGCTGCCTTTATTTTATAATTAAACACACTTGTATTTGAAAAGTATATGTTAGCATCACCTCCCAGATTTCAGCTTTTATAGGAACAATTAGGGGCCAGGAGAATACCATGTGGACCATCATAGGCTGTCTTTATTACCCTTAGATATTCAAATCAACCTACTATTTCATCTCTTTGCTATTAAAACCCATTACTGTATGTTTCACAGATCAAATAATTCTAACAAAATGAGAAAGAATCTTTCAGGAATATAAAGTCATTTGTAACAAAATCACGTTTGTGGGAACTTTTTTTTTTTTTTAATATACTCTGCATTTGGGGAATAAGACACTACAATGTCCTCCTAACCATTACAAATTCGACTCAAATACCCTCACAATGCACATTTAATGTTGAACTGGTGGTTGATAGGGAAATTCTGCAGTCATTAAATAAAATATTTTGCTGTTTTAAATAATAAAAATCCATTTAAATGTTAAATTTCTCCATATATTATCATCCTAATGTAAACTCCTCAGCAGAAACATCAGGTTCAAACTGTTAAAATGTCATCTTAATTAAAAATAGATAAAAAGTTAAAATTCATGTTAACATTAAAAAGTACCCAATGCTGTTTCTATCTTTATTATGGAGACGAGTTTGCATTTAATTTTTTTTTAATCCAGGAATGCTATTACGCACATGCTTAACTTTCAATCCCAGTGAAACTACTCTTGCTTAAAGTTAAGCATGTACTTAAGGCTTTGTTGGATTGGAATCTTATGGAACACATATGCCTCATTATCATTATTATTTTTCAGAAACACTGTGTTACATAAAATTCATTAATAAAAGTCTGATTTTGAAAACACCAACAAAGGAATAAAACCACATTCACAGAAACATGGATCTGCTATTATTATCAAAGCCTAATTTAGTTTTGTCCTTTGCATTCGAAGGAACAGGGAAAAGTCTAGACTCCTTATTTATCCGTGTTTAAAAATCAAGATTAATATGAACAAAAATAAACAGGGGAACAGGAAATTATAATTAAACCATTTGTAACACTGCCAATAGCATAGAATAGTATAACTGAGATCAAATTAGTTTAATTCCATCAGTTTTATTTTGTAAATTGGATTATTAGAATTTGTGTGAATCCTAAAAGTAATTTTTTCAGGATAATGTCAGTCTTAAGACAGACAGCTTGTGTGTGTAAGGCTCTGTTTCAAAACTTCCTATTCTATCACCACGGGATGCAAAGAGAGCTGCGAGAAGCTATAAAAAGATGCAAAGACTTTATTTGTTCTGGTCCACATCAAAGATACATTTCTGGGATTATTACTGATGTATTTGATACACACATGGAAATTAAAATGGAAAGTCAAAGCACACTGTGTGCTTTCTGATTGGTCATTAATGAAGATCTTACATCAGAACAAATGAGGCAGGGTGAGTTTAAAATACTAAATGCTGCTGTGCAGTAGATACCTCAGAAGAAATGAGCATAAGATGGATTCCTTGTAGTACAGTGAGCGGTGCTTGCTCAAATGAAAAAAAAAACAAAAACAAAACCAGTTCTGTGTTTGAGGCAAAAATGGCCATTCCACAGAAATAATTGTGAAGATTTAAGGTACATGTCTTTTCTTGACTGTCAGTAATATATAGGAAAAGGTCTGATGTACTTTTTTTCTGGAGCTAGTCAAAGCAGCTGCTTCATGTCCCCATTGGGTGAGATTTACCCCAGTGCAAAAGTTCAGAGCAAGGTTTTCTGCACGGGAGTAAATGTCACACATTGACATCAACAGAAGTTGTCAATGGCTCCAAACAGAAAAGGATCAGGCCCTGAGAACTGGATATCCAGAAAGAAACTCAAATAAGAATACAATTTCAGTACAATTTCCAATCAGAAACTTTGTCTAACTAATGTGAAGCAAAATTAATTTCAGATCTGAATTCCTAATTGTGCTGCCAATTACTTTGCTCTTTCAACACATTACCTTGCACATGCAACACTTTAGTTTCCTTAGCAACTATTCCTAATTTATTCGGTTATCAAAATGAACTGTTTCATTTTTGGGCCCAACTGAGTTTGATTTGAATTCTGATATAGGCTTTGATTCAGTAAAGCACCTAATCCATCAAAGCCTTTTGTACATGCTTATACATCACTGACTTCAATGGCACTTAAGAAGAAGCTTAAATTTGCTGAATAGGGATGGACTTAAGCACATGCTAAAGTGCTTTGCTGGGCTGGAGGCAGACTAGAGCTGGTAACTGCCTACAGCTAGCAATACCAAATTCATTTCAGCACTAAGGAAATGTGAGCCCCAACTGGCCAATTCCACTATAGGAAAGGTAGTCTCTTTGAGGATACTTTTAAGTCAATTTTCATAATTCCAATGACATACATTCTTATTTAGAAAAGCTGTTGTGTAAGCACAGACTGGCTACCATGTTATCACCCTGCAGAGATAGTTGCATTTCAGTGGTGGACATAGTCACCCCTGTAGAGACACATACCAAGGTCTTTATTTAATTTTTAATCAGGAGCAGATCACGCCCACATGGCCACAGGTTCCCCAAGACATGCAAGAAGATCATGCGGAGGCTTTGCATGGCTTTCTATCTAAAGTAGTCCCCAGAAACCCCCCTCTAAGTAAATCTCCCCAGTGCAAAGAGGGTTGGTCATAAAAGCTGACAGACTGTGTGAGCGTATACATACGCATGTATGTATATACAGACAGAGAGAGAAAGAGAGATCCACGCTCTTATTCAGACAAAACGCCTTTTGATTTCAGAGGGGGGTTTGTCTGAGAAGGACTGAGAGAAAATTGAGGAAAGACTTTTGATTTGGCCCCTTGATTATTAGATATATCATTTTTAGTTTCATTTTGATCTTTGAATAGGGAAGGCAGAGATCAAATGCAATATATAGGGATTTAAACATAGCAGTTTAAACAGAAGACAAAAGAAAAATAAACTTCATCATGAGGCCTTTTTGAATGCAGAAACATTTTGTAGTTTACTACATTGTCTAGCAAGCTTTGTCCAGGGTCCTACAGTTCTGGATTAATTGATTTACATTGTAACAATTTCATTTGGCACTGACCAGTCATTAGTAACTATGTTGCTTTTAAAGAATATGTAACTATGGCCTTTGTTTGCGTTAATAAAGACAGATAATCCCATTAAGTAAAAATGCTGTAATTAACAGACACCAAATAAGCTTACTTATATAAGGCCTGATCCCAAGCTCAATGAAATCGGTGGAAAGACTTCCACCGATTTCAGTGGGCTTTGAATCAGGCCCACATTCCTTGCCTCTTATCCAACCCCGCCTCCCCACCCCAACTACAACTTCACCAAAAGCAGCCAATAACTATAATTCTACTGGAATGAGAGATTTTTGATCTCATAGTCACTTAAATACGAAGAAAAGATGGTGCAGCATAAAGAGCTTTATTAAATTCAAAGCTGAATTCCTCATTTCTTCATCTCCCCTACGTGAATCTTAAGAGTGATGACAACCCTGTGCTTTGCAGCCCCGTAGGTATTTCTGGCACTGATGTCTCCACTGAAAACACAATTAAAGTTGCAAAACCCTTGCTTGCTTGTGGAATAGTGTATTGTTTTTGAAATTAGACCCTGATTCTGCATGGTTCTGAGTAGGCTCAGCGCCTCTAACTTCAGTGGGAATTGAAGGCGGTCAGCACCATGCAGACTTTGCAGGATTAGGCCCTTCATCTGGCTGTCCTTGAGGGTACATGGCTATCTTCACAATGCCAAAGCTTGCAATGCCAACAACTTTTAATGAATATTTTGGTACTCACAACAATGCCATCTAGTAACCAAAAGAAATACTAGGATAAGCACTGTTGTATTGTTGTAGAGAAAGCACAGTGACAATCCTCAAGGCATTACTTTAGTTCTTAAGACATGAGGATGATTTCTCTGGAATATAGCTCATAGATGACATGAAGCAGGGCTTTTGTGGTGGAATACTGTACCCATATGAGATGTGGTGCCAATATCCCCTCCTTGTGAATGGCCTTGTAGGTTTGCTTGAGGATATACACCTTATCACCATGTTAATGGACATTAAAAGGATGTGACATTTGGAAACATGTGGAAACGTGACTGACAACTAGTTCTAGACATGAAAGACTGGAAAAGCACCAGACTATGGTGCTGCAGGAAAGGCGGTATGGGGGTGATGGAGCATGAGACTGGATGGCTGGAGTTTAGAGGCAGACACAGAGGACTCACAACATGGAAACACACCAACCATACCTTCACTGGATCCTTTGCCTTTCCTGTCAGGTAACTCTAACCCTGTGCCCCCCGAGGGATATAAGGAGACGTCCGTTGGCACTGGCCAACTGCTGGCTGTGTCTTCCGTGATCTCATACATCTGCCCTTCCATCGGCTGCAGGTGCCAGTTTAGGCCAAACAGGTGCATGGCTGTAGTGAGCAATGAGAAAAGTCATCTTTTTCTGCTGGGGAGAGCTTCATAATGGCAGGGGCACTTAGTAGACTCTCACCCTACTGCTTTATACTAATCACTGCTAAAAAGAAAAGCATGGGATTTATGTTATTTGACAGCCCACACTGGTTCTGCAATACCATCAAGAATATGACAATTTCTTTGGCCTGGTTCCCCTCTCACACTAGTTTCACACTAATCTAGCACTGTTTACTTCAATGGAATTGCTCCTGATTTATGCCGGTGTGAGAAGATAATTGGACCCCAGGTCTCAGAATACACCTGAAGTTGGGATGAAAATTCAGTGAGCATTTTTAGGGATAACACTTAAGAAGAAGTCAATGTTATATGCACCAATACATCCAGAGAAACGGAGCCTTTGCTGTGCATTGTTGTATTCACAAGCTATTGTCCAGGCTCTTAATCATTTTTTTATCCAGTCCTTATACAGGGAAAGACAGTGGGAATTTTGCCTGAGTAAGGACTGAGTACGTGGTTTAGAGGTCTGCCACATATAATTCATTCCGTTATTGTTATGGTCTTAGTTGTATGTGGATTGAGTGCAAATTCATGTGACCAAGCTCTCGCTGGTACAATTCCAGCTTTCTGCTAATCATCCTGGGGGTTTAAAAGTGAGTAACACCAATTGGATTTGCATGAGTCCACGACACAGCTTGTTGTAGGTTTCTGGGATTGCACAAGGCCATCCAGTGTATGAATCTGTTCCATGAAATTACAGAAAGGCGAGTAAAGTTAAGGAACATGACAGAACACTTAAAAAGCAAACACGGGTATGGAGAGAGGCATGCTTATGCAATTAAGACGCGCCCCCTGTAAACATTAAGGAAAACAATGTGGCTTCCTGTATCATTCCTTTCTTCCCCAACATAAACATTTCACATTTAATCACCATCCAATTTACCTTCAGGCACTCAACGGCGAAATGATCCGATATTCAATGCACTTGTAATGACATTTTCCTATTAAGGGAGCAACTCCTATTTCACAAAATAGTTTCTCCAAGAAACTGTTCAGTGATATTAACATCAGAGCTATTTAACATAAACAAAAAGGACGAGAACAGCACATTTTCACGGCCTATAGATGTCATCTTATTTATAAAAATATGTCCAAGTTTGTCAAACATCCCAATGATGAGTGCTGGGTTTAGTAAAGTCTTTACATCGGAAAGGATCCATTTCAAGTGGCTTGAAAAGGCATCTGAACAATTCTTTTAAAATAAGTAGTTTGGACATACATAGCAAAATTAGCACTTGCTTCTATTTCATAATCAATTAGGACATGAACTAGCATGAACAGGAGTGTCGTACACTAACAGGTAATGGAAGATAACTAAGCTGATTGAAATTAGAATTCCCACTTTACCATGTAAACAGGGACTGGATTTGTTATCAAAACACTAATTAATCTATTAAAAAAGAAAAACTCACATAAACTCCCTATCAAAAAGGAGAGATGCTCAGGGATGTGTTCAAAACCAGGACATTTTTATGCAGGCACACATGCAACTTTACTAGCAACAGGAAAGCTGCAGATATAGCTGTCGATTCAAACAGGAAACTTAGCACAGACTGGCATGTAGTTTTGATTTGAAGGGGGCACCTGGGTTTCTCCAGAAATGCTACACGAAGGTACAATAAAAAAAAATCAAGCAGCCCAAGTATGGATGACAAGAACTTTCAAAGAGCCTTAGATATCAATCTGCTTATCCATTATGTATTTATGTACTTCCATGGCCCTCATCATCATAGTATCTGAGCACCTCATAATCATTAGTGGATTTTATCCTCACAACATTGCATGAGGTAGGAAAGTATTATCCTCATTTCATAGATGAGGAACTGAGGCACAGTGTAGATGAAGTGATTTGCCCAAGTTCACACAGGTCATCTGCAGCTGAGTTGGGAACTGAACACAGATCTAAGTACAAGTCTAGTGCTCTCTCCAGTAGACCATCCTTCCTGCCTTATACCATGCATATTGCCACAGTATTTGAATGCCTACTAGTTAAGATACACTTAAGGGTCATTATTTCCTTCTCTCTCGCTGTCCCCCAGTAGGAATTTATTTATTGTGGATAATAATTGTGAGAAAGCTAAAATGAAGAAGCGAGCATTGTTTTGGGCGCATTGAAAAGATTATTTTCAAGAAAAGAACCAGAAAACCTTGTTCTACAAATGTGAGCGACTGACTGGAAGCCAGGAACTGCTGAGGTTTCCTTGCACACTAATTTTTTCTGTGTCCCTGGGCATGTCAGCAGGTTATTTAATGTCCGATAGACGCACAAACTTTAAGGAGAGAAGGGACCATCATGATCATCTAGTCTGACCTCCTGCACATTGCAGGCCACAGAACTTTACCTACCCACTCCTGTAACAGACCTGCTAACCTCTGGCTGAGTTACTGAGGTCCTCAAATCATGGTTTAAAGACTTCAAGTTACAGAGAGTCATGTGCATAACCCTCTGTGGAATACAATAGGGAGCCTCACTCGAAGAAGAATCCACCATTTACACTAGTTTAAACTTGCAAGTGACCCCATGCTGAAGAGGAAGATGAAACCCCCCCAGGGAATGGATCATTTGATGATTACCTGTTCTGTTCATTCCCTCTGGGGCACCTGGCATTGGCTACTGTCGGAAGACAGGATACTGGGCTAGATGGACCTTTGGTCTGAGCCAGTATGGCTGTTCTTATTTCTTATGTCTCTGCCAATCTGATCGGGGGAAAATTCCTTCCCGACCCCAAATACTGCGATCCGTTAGACCCTGAGCAAGTGGGCAAGACCCATGTGCCTGACACCTGGGAAAGAATTCTCTAGTTTCCCCATCTATGAAAGAGGGCTATTCATGTTTATCTGCCTCACATAGATGTTACGAAACTTAGTTCATGCATGTTCGTAAAGTAGGTCCTTGGCTGGAAAGTCTGTTAGAAATGAAGAGTTGTTATAGAGGCTTTCATTAAAAAGTCATCTTTTGCCATTAGTTAACACAGATTTCCCCTCAAATAAAATAGGAAATATCTGTGGTAGCTGTTGGCTCGTGCTGATCCCTGCACCTCACAGATGACGTGTGAGGATTATATACGGATGTTTTAAGTGCTAATGAAATAAAAATGTGTTAATTAACAAGTAATTATTATTATCATAGCCTTTTGAGTACTAGGGTAGAGTAAGAGTGCCTGAGTAAGCACAACAGATTGGCAGTGGGCCATTCAGCTTGTCCTGGGGCTTTCTAATACAATACTATTGAGTGCAGTATAAATATCTGGACAGGACAGATATACAGACCCATGAGATGGGTAGATATAACGCAATTTCTGCATAAAACAGGCACCAACCATAAGACTCTACTTGAAACCAAAACAGAAAATCTGTGTTTGCTTTGGAAAGGCTCCGATTCGAGTCCTTTCTCATGAAACCATAATATCTCACCACGTGATTATGCGATTATTATTACTATTTTACAAATACCAAAACTTTATGATGTTGGAAGAAGATTCCACCTCTCATCTGCTCTCCCATAAAGGCCACCTTCTTGCTGAAATGTCAAGTAATAACAGCAATGGATGTTTTAGGTCTGTAAATCTCAGTGGGATATTTATAATTGTTGATGCACACTGTTGTTTAAACGTTTTGAGAGCAGCACAAAGAAAGGAAATTTAATCTTGTTGTTCACTAAATTGATGCAAAGGCCTTCTGAATAAAAAAGGGTAAAGAATGGGGTCTTGGAACCCTGGACAACAGACACAATCATACGCTTTGAAATGTTAATGGTTCCTACAAGCAAAGTGAAGCCGTAAAAGATGCTGAGACTCCTGATGTTCTTAGTCTCCAGGTCAATCTGAACCCATGGTTGACATTTTCTCTGGCTTTTTTCTGCTCAGCAAGATGCGAGATGTGGCTCTCACAGTGAACGTTCCATCATGACAATTTCCCTCTCCCCCCAAATGGGATGTTCAATATATGCTCTAATACTGAAGGCTCCTGGGTATTAAAAGAGCACAGTGCAATTAGCAGTCATTAAAATGTACCATTCAGTGCACTAGCATGTAGCTTCCACCACCTAGGAAGCTATGTGGCATGTGCTTTTGAGAAGCTTTGGTTACATTTTGCATAGTTAAAAAAACTCTTCTGTTTTTTCTTGGAATTGAAATACTAGTGGGGAGGGGGAATACAGTGTACGTGCTCATTGGACCAAATCAACCCCAATGCCATAGATCAAGACACACCAGCGAGGCAGATGGCCCACTATGCTTGAGTTTTAAAATCAAATCCTCTACTTTTAAATGAAATAAGTGCTGGTGAAAGTTGCCTGGATGCTGAAATCCTCTGAACAGGTAACAGCACACAGACAGTGGCAGGGCAAGCTTCTTTATCACCACATCCGCAGCAAGCCTCAACCCTGCTCAACCCTATGATTTAGTTGGGGATTGGTCCTGCTTTCAGCAGGGGGTTGGACTAGATGTCCTCCTGAGGTCCCTTCCAACCCTGATATTCTATGATTCTATTCTATGTTCTGAAGGGGTGCCTTTAGGTGGCAAAGAGTTCAATCTCCATGGCCCTTTCAAGCCTTCGCTACTCAGCTGACTATGCCAGGAAGAGTGTCAATTAATGCCAAAATACAGCGGTGATGTGTCTGTGGGCTTGTAGGCACTAACATCACACTCGTTTAAGAGAGGCCAGTAGCATGAATCTTCAGATGGGGTCCTTTTATTTCTCATAGTTGAAAAATGCTACCTTTAAAATGAAACACAATGTTGGTGGAACTGAAGATGCCGGCTCATAATTTTTATGTTAAGCAATAGCATCCCTTTTCTGCATGGCATTATTCCTATTACATTGCTCTTCTTTATGGCTGTGAGCTTCATTGTCTGTTGTTGTAACGCCCAAGGTAGTGGTAAAGTTTGCTTTTAAGAGGCACGGTCTTATGGATATGTTTCCATTACAGCCATTGTCT